TGATCAATAATTCCAGGTCAGTATTAGACTTTATTGAAATGTCAAAATGCAGCAAGCCTATGTTTTACAAGATAATAATACACACACATCAGAATCTTATTAAAACTATGAGTATATTAAAATCAATAAAATATGCATATTTCAGCTCACTCCAGCTAGCCTTTCTGGGGAAAAGTTTATTGTTACTAATTTATCTTTGCTAAATTTTTTCTTGTCTATGTATAGTTTCATTTGTCATACAGGTAATTGTAAAGATAGATAGCTATGTTGTATGTTGTGATTTCTGCTTTAAATTTTGTTCCTGTTCTCATTATTTGACATGCTTTTTTAGTTAACTGAATTTAAAAGTAATAAGTAATGTAATAAAGAGATTGCAGGATGAACTTGATTGATTTTAGTCAGTGCATGATCAAATCAGATTATACTTTGGGAAAGAAAATGTGATATAAAGAGAGATATTCACTGATATTTAATAGACGGAGGAAGAGAAGGCCATGTTGGAGAGGAAAGCTCAAGAATCAGAACTTCTTGCTACACGGATGGTAGAGGAGTCTCAGAGGAGGTAACATTCAATATACAAGAATTCTGAAAAGTGCGGCATTATCATCAGCTGGGTACCCTTTGTGTTAATGGTATTTTTGGCTGTAATCCCAGTAATATCTCATGAGGTTTGGCAAACTTCAGGGTTTTAGGAAAGTCCTAAATACACATACTAAACTAACAAAGCAAACAATCTTATTAGTTCAATGGTGGGTTAGTGGTATGTTTACAGACTAATTATGCTAAAATCTGAGTTTTGATTCCTTGCAGTTGACAGAGTGGGGATAGCCCATCATGTAGCTTTGCCATTAGCCCCTCCTTCCATTCAGGAGAGCATCATACTTTTACTAATTCATACAAAAAGTATTCATAATTATTACAAATATTTGATTGCATACTCAGTATTTCTTTCTCTTCATTTCTAACTGAACAGATGTGAATTGTATATAAAATTAGGATAATTGATTCAGTGTGCAAAAATATTAAAGTAATCATATTTTCTTATAAAAATCAGAAAATGAAGACATTACAAAGCAAATGTGTTTGAAAAATACGTGTAGCTGTGATGTATGACCATAACAGTTAGAAGAATGAGTGCCAATAAAGAATATAACTAAGACATTGCAAAGCGAATATGTGTGTGAAAACGTATGTGGAGTTGTGTTATATAATTGTAACATTCAGATGTATGAGCATCAACAAGGAATAAAACATATAATCAAAGGTTGTCACTCATTGTATTTACAGTCCAACAAAAGAAAAAATTTTAAATCATAAGAAAGAGATAAAGGCTATAATGTTTCAATGAGCCTAGTGAATGTTCATGAAATGTATTCTTCAATGAAAGCATAAAATGCTTGCTTTTATTTATTTTGAAGTTTAGCAAATTTTGCTTCAATAATGCTTTGCTTCCTTGTCATATCTATTCACATTGTGCTAAACATGTATATATTTTATTTTTCATGGACTTCTCTCATATTTCAAATGTGCCATAGTTATATATATAGCAGTGTTTGAGTTTTTAATTTGGATTCTTATTGATATTTTCAAAATCCGTACAGAACTAAACCTATGCATTTTGTTAGTTTTCCTGTGGTTATACCACAAGGATTATTTTTATAAAAAGATATCATGGAAAATTCATTTATTTCCAAAAAAAGTTTTTTATTTTTTTATTTACCTAATATTCCTAGACATTACAAAGACGTTTTATAAAAAATTATTTCGTATGTCTGAAAAATGTTTAATACAAAAACTAGCTGTATAGTCATAAGAATCATTCCACTAAAATGTTAAACTGATTGATCTTTGCTTGGTTCACGAAAAGAAAATAACTATAGTTTGAAATAGAGTAGATGTTTTTAATATTAAAGCTTTAAAACTTCATTTTTCTCTTTAGATCTAAAGAACTGGAACAGGTACGACAAGAGTTGGTCAAAGCCAGACTTGCTGAGAAACAAGCTCGGGAAAAATTAACAGAAGTTTTAAAGAATCCTTATCATGTAAGTTGTCTTTCCATTGTATTGAGACTGTTTGGCCCATAACTGTAATTAGAAGATATGAGTTTTTAGTTGGAACAAAGTGAAAGACTGCAATATTATGTAAAGCTTGCTTTCTTAACTTTATATTTTGCCAATGTTATGTTATCTTAACAAATGTTTCATTAAACATAGTAAGTTTATATTAAGTGGTAGTTTTAATGTACTATAATATAATTGATATATTTTAAAGTAGTATTAAACTGTAAATATTAACTTATTGAATATTGTATTGTTTTTTGTCCAACAGAACAGCAACCCACCTCGTGACTTCCTTTTGGAACTACCAAAAGAGTTCAGTGACTATGTACCAACCATAGGCATCAGTCCTGGTTCTAATGGGATACCAAACACAGGCATCTGTCCTGGTTCTAATGGGATATCTTGTGACTTAACTGTAGACACAGATATGGAACAGTTAACATTACAGATTGAACGAGAAAGGTAAGGGGTAAGGTTATTGAAAATGAACCAAACACAAGCTGTAGTTCTGGTGTTAATGGGATACCAAACAAAAGTATCAGTTCTGCTTTTAATGACATATCTTGTAGACACAGAAAAGCCACTTCATTTGATAATAGTTGAAAGTGTTAATGGGAAAATCTGAACCAAGTGTTTTTCTCTAAAAGTAGCAAAAAAACAGTGTACTGAGAGATAATTGTAATTTTTTAGAATGATGTCCCAGGTTTCACGCTGTCTTTGTGTTTAATACTTCCATTATTGATTGTGCTCAATCTGATGCCGATGATAAAGCACTGTTGCCTGACATTGTGATTTACATTACAACAGTCTTATTTGAAAAATGGCAAGGACATTTGTAGACCACATATTTTGGCAAACTTTTTATAGACTCAACTATATGTGAATGTTGGCTTTCAAACCATTTTTAACCAAACCATGGGCATAAAAGTCCGCTGGAGTGACATCAGGGATCTTGATAGGTTTTGAATGAGGTTACTGTACTTCTAGTTTTTGCAGCCACGGAAACAGTTGTTGTTTCTGTGCTGTTGTCAACTTCAAATCCTTGTTAATTGTCCGGTTAATGACACTAGGAGATATGCCAGCTTCATCACAATATCTTTTTGGGTCAAAGGATTATCTTGCAGAACCATAGTTTTAATTATGCCGATGAGTGCCTTACTCTGGATTGGCATGAAGTGTGGTTTCAGAGTCATGAATGTTCTTCTGCATGAATTTTTCCACTAGCATGGGAAGAATTCAAAGTTCTGTTCTTTGAAATTTTGTATTCTTTGGATCCATGTTGTTTAATAATTTTGCTATATGAATTTATTTTCTAGGAAAGGCCCATATATCTACTCTGGTGGCATTGCAATGTCGAATGGTTGGAAATTTGCCATAATAAAATTACATATCTGCTAAGCTTGTTTCTCATGGATTGTGTCTGCCCTGACATTGATTTATCCCAAAACATTAAGGAACTATAGGTCTCTGTTCTATCTCTTTCAAATTTCTACCAGTCCACTTCTTGATATTATACATTAATATCATTTTTCTCAATCCTTTGTTCTTTTTACATGACATCCCTACGAAGTGTGATTAAATCTGTACTACTTTTAACAGTGGAGGAATTATAGTTCATTTTGTTATTGAAATGATCCTAATTTTAAAAACTATGACAATATCTTCCTCAGAATGTTTTGAAAACAATAAATGCTCAGGTTTTAGTAGAATGTCTGTTAAATAGGTGTCCTTAGGTTTTATATAAAGAAAACATTTTTTAGGTATTGTTAGTATGCTTAGAATTTGTTAGGTTGTCTATAAACAGTAAATATGCTAAGGTTTTGTTAGGATATCTGAAATGATAGGTATTCTTAGGTATTGTTATGATGTATATTAAGCAACAGATAGATGTTAAGGTGTCTTTAAACAACAGGTATACCCAGATGTTAAGGTGTATTTTAAACAACAGGTATACTTAGATGTTAAGGTGTCTTTTAAACAACAGATATAATTATATGTTAGGTTGTCTTTAAACAACAGGTATACCCAGATGTTAAGGTGTCTTTTAAACAACAGGTATACCCAGATGTTAAGGTGTCTTTTAAACAACAGGTATACTTAGATGTTAAGGTGTCTTTTAAACAACAGGTATACTTAGATGTTAAGGTGTCTTTTAAACAACAGATATACCCAGATGTTAAGGTGTCTTTTAAACAACAGGTGTACCTAGATGTTAAGGTGTCTTTTAAGCAACAGGTATACCTAGATGTTAAGGTGTCTTTTAAACAACAGATATAATTATATGTTAGGTTGTCTTTAAACAACAGGTATACCTAGATGTTAAGGTGTCTTTTAAGCAACAGATATAATTATATGTTATGTTGACTTTAAACAACAGGTATACCTAGATATTAATGTGTCTTTTAAGCAACAGATATAATTATATGTTAGGTTGTCTTTAAACAATGGGTAAAGCTTGATGTCTTTAACCCGTTATCTGCCGTGGCCATTTTGTCTTATCGTGAGGGCAAAATCTCATTTTTGAATTGAAAAAAATGATAGAGAACTTATCTTTTATTGGATTTCAGATTTTATTTTTGTAAATAGTAGCATAACATTTAATTATTTGTACAAAATTGTATTATTTAATGTAGTTTAAAGAGGAATTTAATGAAAAAATTAATTCCTAAAATACATTTTAGACTGTAAATAAGTGCCCTCTAAGAAGAACATTTTTTTCACAATTTTTTTTTAAGATATTTCCTTCCACTTCAGCACTGGTCCTGCCATCT